TACACCTAGAAATAAACAATATGTTGACTCTATATGTCATCTGAATTCACAAATATACAAAAACACGGAAATGAACATCAAATACAACCATGAGATTTGCAAGTCTTTGTAGAAAATCAATATTATCACCATGAAACCTTCCAATTGTATTAAATTTAATCAATATCATTACATGTAAGGTCTTTTACACCTAGAAATAAACAATATTTTGACTCTTTATGTCATCTGAATTCACAAATATACAAACACACGGAAATGAACATCAAATACAGCCATTGAGATTTTTGCAAGTTTTTGTAGAAAATCAATATTATCACCATGAAACCTTCCAATTTTATTAAATTTAATTAATATTATGACATGTTAGGTCTTTTACACCTAGAAATAAACAATATCTTGACTCTATATGTCATCTGAATTCACAAATATACAAAAACACGGAAATGAACATCAAATACAGCCATGAGGTTTGCAAGTTTTTGTAGAAAATCAATATTATCACCATGAAACCTTCCAATTTTATTAAATTTAATTAATATTATGACATGTTAGGTCTTTTACACCTAGAAATAAACAATATTTTGACTCTTTATGTCATCTGAATTCACAAATATACAAACACACGGAAATGAACATCAAATACAGCCATGAGATTTGCAAGTTTTTGTAGAAAATCAATATTTTCACCATGAAACCTTCCAATTGTATTAAATTTAATCAATATCATTACATGTTAGGTCTTTTACACCTAGAAATTTCATGACTCTTTATGTCATCTGAATTCACAAATATACAAAAACACGGAAATGAACATCAAATACAACCATGAGATTTGCAAGTCTTTGTAGAAAATCAATATTATCACCATGAAACCTTCCAATTGTATTAAATTTAATCAATATCATTACATGTAAGGTCTTTTACACCTAGAAATAAACAATATTTTGACTCTTTATGTCATCTGAATTCACAAATATACAAACACACGGAAATGAACATCAAATACAGCCATGACATTTGCAAGTTTTTGTAGAAAATCAATATTATCACCATGAAACCTTCCAATTTTATTAAATTTAATTAATATTATGACATGTTAGGTCTTTTACACCTAGAAATAAACAATATCTTGACTCTATATGTCATCTGAATTCACAAATATACAAAAACACGGAAATGAACATCAAATACAGCCATGAGGTTTGCAAGTTTTTGTAGAAAATCAATATTATCACCATGAAACCTTCCAATTTTATTAAATTTAATTAATATTATGACATGTTAGGTCTTTTACACCTAGAAATAAACAATATTTTGACTCTTTATGTCATCTGAATTCACAAATATACAAAAACACGGAAATGAACATCAAATACAGCCATGAGATTTGCAAGTTTTTGTAGAAAATCAATATTTTCACCATGAAACCTTCCAATTGTATTAAATTTAATCAATATCATTACATGTTAGGTCTTTTACACCTAGAAATTTCATGACTCTTTATGTCATCTGAATTCACAAATATACAAAAACACGGAAATGAACATCAAATACAGCCATGAGATTTGCAAGTTTTTGTAGAAAATCAATATTATCACCATGAAACCTTCCAATTTTATTAAATTTAATTAATATTATGACATGTTAGGTCTTTTACACCTAGAAATAAACAATATCTTGACTCTATATGTCATCTGAATTCACAAATATACAAAAACACGGAAATGAACATCAAATACAGCCATGAGATTTGCAAGTTTTTGTAGAAAATCAATATTATCACCATGAAACCTTCCAATTTTATTAAATTTAATCAATATCATGACATGTTAGGTCTTTTACACCTAGAAATAAACATGACTCTATATGTCATCTGAATTCACAAATATACAAAAACACGGAAATGAACATCAAATACAGCCATGAGATTTGCAAGTTTTTGTAGAAAATCAATATTATCACCATGAAACCTTCCAATTATATTAAATTTAATCAATATCATGACAGACAAATCATTCCATTCATCACCACTTACAACCCATTTATTCCGCCAGCGCAAAATTTCTTTTATACATTTCTTAAGATTCTACAAGAGAACAGATCCACAAACTTTATTAAAAATGCCAAAATTCTAGCAGTTCATCGTCGAACGAAAAACACGAGAGATCTATTAATCAAGTCAGATTTAAACTGCAAGAAATTAACACAGGGAAGCTACGCATGCAAACAAAATTGTTTTGCTTGTAAATTCATGAAAAACTCGACAGAGATTAAAAGCACAACAACGTCCGAGGTATTTAAAATTCAAGGTCAATTTACATGTAAAACTCCGAGCATTATATACCTAATAACTTGCAAAAATTGTAACATTCAGTACGTGGGTCAGACGGGAAACACTATCAAAGAAAGACTCTATGGTCATATGGCAGATATTCGCGCGAAAAACACATTTAAACCAATTGCGCGCCATTTCGGCACTGAACACGACGTCACGGACATCACGATTTCAATAATACAAAACACGGAGCGCAACCTAAACAAACGATTACGAACCGAAGAACTATGGATAAAGAAGTTAAATACCAAAACACCGGACGGATTGAATTTAATTTAAAAGAAGTACTATACGCTAAAAAATTAGAAGACAATACACAGAAAGAATTAGAACAACTAAATTTTATAGACAACTTTCACGTATGTAACATATGCAAACTAGTCGTTCATTCAGCAAAAAACCTGAGAAGACACATGAAGAAACATGAACAAACAACAATTAAATTTAGATGTGATTGGTGCCAGAAATTATTAGCAAGGAGAGACTCTCTAAAACGTCATTCAAAGAAATATCCATTTTCTACGTGAGGAAAAATTCCATATAGTAAAAATTCTAAATTCCATGACTCCATCAAAAGACCCTCCCAAAAAGATGACCATCCTTAAGAAACCCACCTTCAGAATTATCCAAGGCAAAACCGGACAACTGGACTTAAAAAAGAAGAAAATTCACAAACAACCAAAGACAGAAGACCTAAAATTTAACATTCCCAGACCAATATCACCACTAAGCCCTACACCAAAAACAGAAGAACATCTACAAACAGACAGAACCACATCACCAACGAATAGCTCCTCAACATCAACTATCTGCGAGGATGAACATTTAATGCATAATAGTGAAATGAACTAATCATCAACGTGTACAGTATATATGGTATTTTTCAAAAAACAATTTAAAGTTCAACCTAAAGAAACTTGGCACAACTCCATAATTTTCCTGGCAATTTTCCAAAACTCTATCTTTTTTTAGAAAACTTTATTAATTTTGTTACTATTTTTATATATCACGTGACTTACCATCTTACACAATTTTTATACTTTAGCTAGATTTATACTTTGTAAAATTTATCCTGATGAAGAACCAGATAGGTTCGAAACCGGTAGATCTTTTATTAAAATTTTGTTAACATTTATCCGGTGTTGACGTGTGGTTTCTTTGAATTCTCCCTTTTTATCCAATAGCATGACATGTTAGGTCTTTTACACCTAGAAATAAACAATATTTTGACTCTATATGTCATCTGAATTCAAAAATATACAAAAACACGGAAATGAACATCAAATACAGCCATGAGATTTGCAAGTCTTTGTAGAAAGTCAATATTATCACCATGAAATCTTCCAATTTTATTAAATTTAATCAATATCATGACATGTTAGGTCTTTTACACCTAGAAATAAACAATATTTTGACTCTTTATGTCATCTGAATTCACAAATATACAAAAACACGGAAATGAACATCAAATACAGCCATGAGATTTGCAAGTTTTTGTAGAAAATCAATATTATCACCATGAAACCTTCCAATTTTATTAAATTTAATCAATATCATGACATGTTAGGTCTTTTACACCTAGAAATAAACAATATCTATATGTCATCTAAATTAAAAAATGTACAAAACGTGGATATTAAAATCAAATAGGACCATGAGATTTGCAAAAAATCCAAGAAATAGATAAACCTCCCAATCAAATTTATAAAATAAGTAAATATATGTGTCTCTTATATTAATGTGAAGACATTCATTACTAATAACAACTGCATTTCAAACAAAAATTAATTTATGACAGAAATTCATCAGATTTTATAACCTTACAAATTTTTAGCAAATTTAACAATTATCTATCATTAGATTTTCAAGTTCTGGTGGAAAATCAATCCTCCATCATGAAAACTATAAGTTTGTATCATGACATGTTAGTTCATTTACATTGTCTTGACTTTATATGTCATCTAAATACACAAATATACTTAATATACCAAGGCACAAAAAATTGATTTTAACCATGAGATTTGCAAGTTTCATAATTAATATTTCATTAAAATATTCAATAAATTGATAAATGTATCTTAAATATTTCTGTCAAGACATTCATTACTCATGATGAGTGCATATATGTCTAAAACAATATCACTACTAATTAAATTTGTGTCATCAGATTTGATATGCTATCAATTTTTTAAAAAATCAAGTAGGGTCATGAGATTTGCACACGCTTTTTATTACTTGGGGACCATACGCCACTTTTCATGGAATGGCACGGAAGTGTCACATTGAAGGTTCCATGATAACCGCCGTATGAACACATCTGCGGATGTTTCTAAATTCAAAATTTTACTATTTCACGTATAAATGTTGAATTCTGCTTAAGCCGGTGCTAGGGGGCGTGGACGGTAGCTTGCACTTTCCAGTACTGTCCATGAACAGGCTCAATCAAACCGAGCCTGCAACATTTTCAATTTTGCTGTGTTGGGCTTTCTTTAGGGATTCTGTATTTATTATTTTTATTCAATCTCATGTCAATTATATTGATAAATGTTTATTAAATATTGCTGACAACACATTCAGAACTCATGGTTCCTGCACATTTCTGAATAAATATTACCATTCATAACATAATTGGCACAAGATTTATTTTTATGCAAAATTGTTTTACCTGTTTCTAGATTCCTCTTTTATTTCCCAACCTTTCTCCATGTTTAACCCAATTTGCCGGCAACATACACCTAAAATTGAAAAAAAAGCTTGGGACAGATGTTTTTGACATTTTACTTATAATGAAAGTCTGTACAGACTTTACTCTATTCTTACTATTAAATTATCTTATCATTCAGGTATTTATTTTTTTATTATACATGCTGTGATAGACTACATTTCACAATTTGAAATCTCAGAACCACACCTTTCCTTGACAAAAACTCTACAAATACAACTAACACAGATTGTCTATTTATGCCATTAAAAAAGTGGCAAAATTTTATTTGCCACACTGTGAGAAAGATGTGATGCCAGACTAGGACTCAAACTGTCATATGGCATATAATGACTTATGCCGGGTGATTGCATATTAATATATGTCATATATTTTCCATGAAATTTTAAGTGTAGGCCAATTTCGCCAATGTTTTTTCCCATTTCTTTAACAGGCTCATTTTCCTGGCGCTGGACAGTGTTTCCATTTAAAGATTTTTTATATCATACATGAAACCCTTAGAAGTCAAATTATATCATATTTTTCCTTCAATTTTTGCAAAAAATCCTTTTAATTTCCCCAAATTTTAAATGTTGAAAAAATACAGACTTTCATTATATAAATATATACTGTACATTTAATGACATTTTAGTTCTTTTGACAGATAATTTAAAAGACCTCCATGACTTTTACAGGTATGACACAGAAATCTGCCCCATCGTAGCTGATACAAATCCAGCATTTTTTTTCCAGAGGGGGTTGAAAATTAATATATAAATTAATACTTAACGCGTACATCAGGCAGATCATACTGTTTCAGACTGTTTTAACCTTTAAATTATATCAGGCAGCTTGGAAATCTCCTAGACCAATAAACTATAAAGCAAAGTAGTAAGTAGCTTTTTTATAACCATACAAAACCTACAACAGTCTACAATGAAGGTCAGAAATTTTGGGTAAAATACATGAACTCGTGCTTTATAACCGAAATTGGTTAGAGGGGGTAGGGTAAAAAAATCAGAAATAAATGAAAGAAAATAGAAAAAAAACCAATAGATCACAAAACAAGGGGTAATTACCCAATATACACAAAATGTTATCTGTAGCCCTGTAACAGTATTTTATATAAATCTTATTGTCAAAAAATTCAATCTAAAAACTTTATTTATGAATCAGTCAGAAAAAACATCTTGTTTTGATATCTTTTCTTTTTTAAGGAACAAAGATCATTTCAAAAAAATATGCTGTCATTTTTTTCAATTTTTTACTTATGTTAGTAATCATACCTCTAAATTACTTTTACAGTTTTATAGTTATTTTGATACTGCTTAAAAAGTTTTTCAACTAAACAATCTATATCTAAGATTGTTAATAGAGGGCCGAGCTGACCCTGTGCTGAGTTGACTAGAGCCAAGCTGGCCGAGTTGACCCTTTACCAATATCAAAACATATTCCAAATGAAAAAAAAATCCAGGTCAGCTCTGCCCTAAAACGTTCGGCCCTATACCAACTCGGCACGGGTCAACACGGCCCACTTTTCAATTATTAATATTTAGGTTTGTGTTATCACTATTTATTGTAATTATTTATAATACACGGATTGACAGTTTCCGAACTAGCAGCAGACAGGCTTTTCTTCTCAGTAAAATTGCAAGTAATAAGTGTCGATTGCGTATCTCACTGTATTTCTGACTCTAGATAGGTTTAATCGTAATTTTTTATACTTTCAGTGTCAATGTGTTGTAATATACACTGAGAGGAAAAATAATTACGAAAATCAGATCTGTATAAAAATGATAAAGGCCTATATTGAAATAAACGAAAATTGAAAACAGGGTCGTTCAAAAAGAAGCTACCTAGTTTAATGAAAATAAGTCTATATATGAAAATATCTATAATATTAACGTGAATTTTTAGCAAGTAAATTGATACATAGTTAAATTCTGTTCTTTATTACTTTAACTAGATAATGCACAGACAAGGTTCTCTATTTGATAGAAGAAAAAAAACGTATGACACGTGCACATGAATTTCGGTGATTGGATTTTCGCACTTGTCATTATTGACACACACTTATTAAAGCCAAGCATTAAAGGTGTTTATTGGCGTTATCGCAAGCGCCAAGTCATAAGTTATTTATTTTTTAAGTTTTTGTTTCATTAACTGACTTTCAACCTTTTATTTGACGATTAATACATTTTTTATTCTTGTACCCATTTTGTTACAATTAAGTTCATTGGATGCGAAAAACAATGTACAGAATTTGGGTTTTTAGGCATATTAAATCAATATCATATTCACTCAGGTTATGAAAAACTAATTAATATAATAAAAAAATGTATATATATTACACTTACAAACTTGCTTGCATGATTTCATTCGGCCATATTCCCTAGCCACGAATGATAATTCCTTGTTTCCCTTCCTAAAATTCCACTAAATTATTCCCCTTTTAAATGAACTCAAAGAAGGGACCTTTTTAAAAGACTTTGTATTTATTTATTCGATTTTTTGTGAAGAAACGGACAATTTTTTCCTTACCTTTGTATAATTTGCTTTCTATCTATATATGGTTCCTATGGTAAACATATGCGTTTTGATGGTAAACAAACGAATTTTCTGAACCGAAAGTAATCTAACACACAGCGCTGCTGTCATCACATGTAAACAATACATTAAATCGGTAAGAATATTGAGATATTTGTTTGACTGTCTGTTGCAAATGCAAAATATTAATATGGGAAAACAACTATGTGTAGTTTATGTGTATTGTTTTAATGTGTTTGTCTGATATTTTAGTTGTGAAAGTCATGTACACTAAGTGTCGCTTCATGGCACGTGACCGGTAACTGATCGAGATATGGCAAAGCGCATGCTCGCGCACTGACTTCCGCTCTATTGAAATACTGCATATACATATAGCGAAAGTTCGTAAGTGTATTAGTTTAAAATAATAAGGTATTTCTTATTATTCATTTACCTTAACAACATGCAAAGCAAAGTTAATACGTTATATATATTTTTTGTAAAGTGGGCCGAGTTGACCCGTGCCGAGTTGACCCGTGCCGAGTTGGTATAGGGCCTAGTTGACTCTTTTCCAATGAAAAATACTACAGTTTACATTGTTTTGGAGAGGTAGAAGGGTTGTAGAGGGCAGCGTTGTGCCCAATTAACGCGCCTAACACCTGTGACACAGACACTAACTTCATCATGAGTGTCATGACACCTGACTTAGCGATACAATTTCATTCAAACATAGGTTGTGTTTTTATCAGTTAGTATGCAGAAAATGGTCTCTACATCTACATTGTACGTCGGCGCAATCACACTTGATTATGACGCGACGGGTGGTGCTAGGTCAAGAAAAAGAAATATACAAGAAATGATAGAAAGTAAGAAGAGGTTGGATAGTACAAAGGTAGAGATATAGACAAAAAGTATGGCCAGCTATATTTCGCCTCTTCAACCCAAACCTCTCCGGTTACGGTGGCCGCTGCCGGCACAGCCTTGGATATCACTAGTGGGTACTTGTAGCTGGGCCCCTAAGGCGACTTAGAATGTGAGGGCTGATAGCCCCTGCTTGAAGGATACCAAGTCAGGGGCCTCTGCAACGGAGGCAGGTAAGCTGTTCCATATCGTGGCTGTACGAGGGAAGAAGGAGTTCTTGTAGTACGATGTAGATGTTGATGGTAGATGGAACTTCTTGGAGTGGTCACTTCTAGTGCGGCTCGGGGCAGGGGTGAGATAATCGCTGACTGGTATGTCTACAAGGTCATTGGTGATCTTGAACATCATGGTCAGCTGGGCTTTGGTCCGTCGTGACTCTAATGTCTCCCACTCCAAGTGTTGGATCATTGAGGATACGCTGCTTGTGTTGTGGTAACGGTTCGTCACATATCTTGCAGCTCTCCTCTGGAGAAGGGATGTGTAATCAAACACTAATAATAGAAAATGCAGCCCAGGCATACTTATAATACAAATTTCAATTAACCTCATTCAGAGATGTTTATTTGGTTAAATCTAAAAAAATTGGATGTATAGTGTACTGGAACCCCATTGTCTGATTGTATCTACCTGTGAATTTATGCACCCTACTTTCGTTTTCAATTAATCAGTCTGCCACCGATATGTCTAAACATTGTTTTTAAATATTCATAATACTGGTATTTTGATATCCATACTTGGAAATGTATAAAAAAGATACCGTTTGACAAGGAAAAGTACCAGGAAATGATAAAATCTTACTTACCGTAGCAAACGACTTGCAAATCTCATACCGGAAGTGTGAAAACGAAAATAACATTTTCGCGCATGCGTACTTGCATATCTCATGGTACTTGCGAAACTCATACGACACCGTCAATAAATCGCGCTCTTCGGGGTATTTTTGCTTATCATTTTGTAGTACTCAGTGGGTTATTATGGTATGTTATTCCGAAAGCTGTTAATAGAATGATGAGTTGATGACCTAAATATTCCGAAAATCTATTTATAGAGGGAGGTAATTCCCGGCCCGGGATTTACTTATGACCGGCGAATAGTACCACACGTTTATTGTCCGGTCTCTCCCGGTTTTGGAGTAGATATCGTTACAGAACAGAACAAATATTTTACAGATAAATAAGCTTTTTTCAAAATGAATGTTTGTCACTTAGTTTGGTTAAAATAATTAATAAACACAGATTTCAACTCTCGAATTGATTGATTATTTATTATACATTAAACATACAATTCGAAAAAAAACCAACAACACAAATCGCATGTTATATTTTTATCTATATGAGATAAAAACATTAAATATGTACAATAAATGAGAAAAATGTGCATTTTTATGGCATTAATATGACAACACTATCAACTTTAAAAACATTTTATATAATTTGTTATTCGTGTTTAGTAAAGATTCCGAGGAATTATTCAAAGTTACAAATCAGATTTTATGAATTATTCAATTGATAGATAATTTAAAAAAAATGATAAAGAAAAATACAAATGTACATGTATATGGTTTAAGAATAAACAATATTAATAAATTGAAAAATTAAACCATGATTTACTGACTTTTTCCAGTTAAGTTCTGACTTATAATCGTCGATCATTATGACAAATTGAATTTTAAATAGTAGTAAACGTAAAAACTCAGTATTAAAATAGCGCATAAAACACACACAAAAAAAGAAAAGAAACAATATTCATAAAATCTGTATTTTTTTTTATTAAAATAGAAATTACATTTATTGTATAATAAACAATTATGCTCAACATGATCAACATGGTAATATAACAAGTGTCATATTGTTACTTAGTGTGAACAGATACCTTAAGAGGGGGTCCTCGTTAATACAAAAATAAAAGGGACAATTAAAACAAGTATGGTTTGATCATGCGTTACACAATGGTTTTAAAATTTGTTTTTAAAATTTGTTATCCTTTGCTTTTTAATAACCACCCCAAAAAAAAATAACAAGAAATTTCTAATTTTCTAGCATCCCGATCAATTTAAAAATAATGAAAAATGTTTTTCCGTTCTTCAAAAGTGATATAAAATTTTTAAAAAACCCATGAACCTTTTGAAAAAGTTTATAAAAAAATTTTCATCTTATCTACTAGTTCATCTCACCTCTTTTTTGGAGCCCCTTTGATGCTTTGAAAATTTTTTCTTGTTCTTTTGTTATTTTCCTGCAGGGCAAAAACCTCAATTTTGAGGGGGGAACAAGACAAAAAAGGGAAGGGAATAAGCCAAAAAAGCGGTAACGGTTAAACCGGGATTTTTCTTACGGTTGTCATCAGTTTAAGGTGTTACCCTTTTGGACTGCAATAAAATAAAAGTTTTTAAATATGTTTGCAAGGTCCCAACTTTTTCAATTTTATCTTTTTCCTTTCTTTTTTCTTTATACATAAAGGTTTTTATTCATATTTTTTGTGTTTTTTTTTTAAAAAATAAAACTATTTCAACTGATCATTGGGCAATTAAAGGGTGTGTTCTTATTTATTTTACGACGAGTTATCCTCTGGCTTTCTTCTTTCTAGCTATGTGTATAAATGTGTTCATTCACTAAAAATGCGGATACGTATCTGTAACATTTGTGCTCATTCTCTGTTGTAGATCGGCTTTATCTTAGACACTATCTAAAATCCAAAATGCATAACCAAAGCTATTGCCCTACGTATTGAGGATGGTTCACAATGAACATAACATATCGATGGACTGCAGCTGTTTTAATCTTTTGAATTGCACCTACGTTTGTGTCTAGATCAAGCAAAAATATCAGTAATGTAATTGGGTCATAAAAATATGACGTAAGTAAGAAATGCGGAACAGAAAACGTCCTAAGATCTATTGCTAAAGACATGTTTTGATAAAGTGAACTTTTATTTCCATACTCTTTTATTTCCATACTCGTAAAAAATAATCTAGCCGTATAGCCTGATGATGAATAACATAAGAAATACAAAAACCGAATTATTCTGATTAAAATGGCAAATTTAGACCGCTTTATTTAACAGTCATCCAAAAAAGCATGTTATATAAGAAACTGTATTCAAATTTGCTTTAATTGCCTGTAAACAATATGTTTCTTATGAAGTTAATAGTGTATACGTAGGTTTATATCAATATCTTATCAGTATTGATTTTTGTGTTGAAACATTCTATAAACTCACTGATTTGAACGTTTTTTAATACGATTTCAAGTATTAAGCATTACATTATAATCAGTATTTATTTCCCTCTGAAGTTTACGATAATATTTGTGTACATGATAGTTCGTACGTTTATGTCTTATCACAGCTTAACGGCAAACGAGACTGACAGGTAATTCGATTGATATTTCATTTGCATTCGTCACATTTCCTTTCACTGTATAACAAAGATAAATCCTTTTTGAAGGTTTTGTTTGTTTGTTTGGATTTTTACGGCACGTCAACACATAACTGGCCATTTCGTGCCGACTGCTATAATAGGCTTAAAATGTTATGTAAAACTTTGTAAATGACAATAAAATGAGCCAATTTGATCCGAGAATACAAGTTTATCTCTTTCAAATAATCAATGATGTTTTTTGATGGAATTGTATTAAGGTAAACTACTTTTTTTACCTTTAACGATCAGTTTCTTATATATTGACCAAAAAAAGAGTTGGTTAACAATAGAAATTTAAAGAAAAAAACATATTTTGAGATACTATGGTCTTTAACTTATATCTATACACATGCAACAAGAATAATAAAAAAGTAACTTTAAATTTAAAGATATATATAACTTAAAGGATAATCTCAAAGTTATTTCTATTTACTGATTTATTCATTATGCTATATATGTGACAATTAGAATATTTACACGAAAATACGCATGCAGTAAATAAATAAAAAAAACATTCATTGCAAACGTTTACTCATTTAGTCAAAGCATTTGGAAATTGGAACTCCTTAAATTGTCTTATCATTTGCAACTTTAAACACATGCATGGGTTACGATGATGAAATAGACAAAATTTGGACTCCTTTAAGAAAGCCCAACACAGCAAAATTGAAAATGATGCAGGCTCGGTTTGATTGAGCCTGTTCATGGACGGTACTGTCAAGTGCAAACTATCGTCCACGCCCCTAGCACCGGCTTAAGCAAAATTCAGCATCTAACATGAACTGGTACAATTTTGAATTTTGAAACATCCGCTGATGTGTTCATATGGCGGTTATCATGGAACCTTACATGTGACACGTAAGTGCCATTCCATGAAAAGCAACATATGGTCCCCAAGTAAAAATGCGCTTGCCCTAAACGAAAAAAACAATGGGTGGAAGTAAATAAAATGGAATTTTGAAAGGGGATCAGAGGTTATGGCGCCTGCATATTACAGATAAGACGTCAAAAGACAAATGAAAAAAAGCAGGCCTCATATCCTAAGGGTGAAGTGAGGAATAGTGGAAACACCCAACAAGAAAATAGCCAAATAGAAATTACTAAATTACCACAAGCACAACAATAATGTCGTGCTGAACGATCTTTAAGGATCGGAAATATAACATCTCTGATTGAATGTACGGGACGACTTTTTAAAGCCTCCACACGGCACAAAAAACGCTGATGTGGCGATACATAGAGAAAATAAGAATTCCTAAAGAAAGCCCAACACGGCAAAATTGAAAATGTTGCAGGCTCGGTTTGATTGAGCCTGCTCATGGACGGTACTGTCAAGTGCAAACTATCGTCCACGCCCCCTAGCAACGGCTTAAGCAGAATTCAGCATCTAACATGAACTGGTACAATTTTGAATTTTGAAACATCCGCAGATGTGTTCATATGGCAGTAATCATTGCACCTTCAATGTGACACGTTAGTGCCATTCCATGATTGAGCCTGTTCATGGACGGTACTGTCAAGTGCAAACTACCGTCCACGCCCCCTAGCACCGGCTTAAGCAGACTTCAACATTAAACATGAACTGGAATATGGCGGTTTTCATGAACCTTAAATGTGAACGTAAGTGCCATTTCTGAAAACGGCATAGGGTCCCCAAGAAAACAAGCGTTTGCCCTAAACGAAAAGAAAGGGGCGGAACAAAAATAAATGTTTTTTGAAAGGGATCAATTTTTTTAAAACTTTTTTTTGCAATAAAAAAAGCAGTCCCTTTTTTAATTTGAAATTTAAAAAAATATAATCATTTTCCAATTTAACTTTTCTTAAATGTTTATTTGCGAAATTTTTAAAAAAGTGAAAAATTTGAATTTTTCGATAGCGCAAAATTGAATTTAACATACATCCACATGTTTAATTTTTCTTCCGACGTTTTTAAATTTTAAGGTTGATTTTTGGCTGTTTAATTATTTCTACAAAAAACAGGGAAATTGCGTTTTAAATTGGAATTTTTTTGTCTTCCATTCCCTCGTCATAAACTTTTAGGATTGTCCTGATTGATCGTTAATTAATTCGCCTGATCCTTTTTCAGCTCTCCCCTACTGTTTCCCCTTTCTTTTCGGTGTTTTGGATAACTTTCCTTAACACGTTGGAATTTGAGAGTTACTTCCTTTCAAAGTGATCTTCCGAGTCAATCTTTTTAATTTTTCATATATGGGGTTGTAAAATATATTTAAAAAAAGGACCCATAAAAAAGTTAAAAATAGCCTTTTTTGATTTTCGTTAGACATTGTTTACTTTTTATAACGTTTTGTTTTTATTTTTTTTTTCTAGTTTTTTAGATCAAAAAAAAACCTTAGATTTTTTCTTTTCCGGTAAATTTGGGGGTCGTCCTTTTTTTAACACTTTTGGTTAACAAATACAGTAAATAAATTTTTCAAAATTGAATAAGATTTTAATTCGGGAAAAATTTTAAAATTGAAACAAAAAGGGAAAATATAAT